ATCGCATGTGAAGACCGCCCACATATAATACATGATATAAACAAGATAGTTTTAGCAGCCATCCGATCAGCCCACTGGGCAGGTCTCTTTAGGGACGGACCATGGTATTGTCTATTTTTAGCCGCAGTTGTGGAACACACGAGTCTTCATGCTGTGAATTAACGATCTGATCCCCCACTTGGCAGGTCTCTTTAAGGATGGACCGCAGTGTTGTCTATTTTAAACAAACAGGAATGAATCAGGAAATGATGATGACATGATTAATGTCGAAATATTGAATCCCAACACGATGGCATGCATTTCAATAATTGGCGTATGTATTATACTTTCTTATAAGAATGGGATTTGTATTCACCTTTACGGCGACCGATGTCTGGTCTAATCAATTGGAAGTGTTTCAAGTCTGCCAAAATTGGAGCCAAATTCTTTATATTTTTTTAACATTTGTTAAATTTACCGACCTAGACCTACTCACCTAATTTATACCCTGGGATTTGCCCGGGAAAATGCCTGTACGCGAAGTTGGGTGTAAGTTGGGGATGAGATTATACCCAAGGTGGGACTATATCCGAGGAACTACGGTACTACATAGAGAATATCTCTTCAATTGACGCTTTCCCTGCCTTCATTCCCCTTCACTACCCTCACACTCCTCCCCTGCCTTGACTCTTCTCTCCCCACCTTCACTTTCCTCCCTACCTGACAGTGCTACTACTGTACACTCATTGGTTATAAGATTGTTTAGACTGGAGGGAGTGCTGGGTGTTTTGCTTGTGAAAGTAAAAAAATATGGGCACTAAAAAAATAAGAGTAGAGAAAGGTTTATTCCGTAGTGGCAATCTGTGGGGTGTGTGGTGTAGCGTGTAAGGCGTTGAACTTCTGATCGCAGGATCAGGAGATTGAAACCGACAGTTGTCGCATTGCTTGTGTCCTTAGGCAACATACTTTAGCTACATTGCCTCTCTCCACCCAGGATTATAAGTGGGTACCTGGTAGGTTCGACCACAACTGCGCTGACTACTAGCTGCAATATTATAAAATTCTCCCCAGGGAGCTGAGTATGTGTTCCATACGTGTTTGATCCAATGACCAGGGTAATAATGTGAAGCGCTTAGAGGCTTTACACATGAAGCGCTATATAAGACCGACATATTATACTATTATTAACTTCCTTGACACGTCTTCCCCTTTCCCCTATTTTAACCAACGCTTACGAGATGAGTTAATGACATAAGGATGATAAAATGCAACAATCATCTAAAGCCTGTGTATATTTCACCAGTGAGTTCACTGTCCACTACCTTAATCTGTTGAATATGTTGTTGTGTAGATATTTTCATATAATTTTGATGATTGTGACATTTGTGAGAAACATGGGAATAGGTCTGACATTTTCTTGAATCACATGTGTACCAGACTATATAAAAAAAACTCTTGCTGTGTAGGAGAAATGAAACATGCATGTCTTATTGTTGTTAGTTTTGCATCAAAAACCTCAAATACAATAAAAAATATTGTGCTTTAAAGACATTAATGTATCTGGTAAAACCTGGAAAAGACTACATACATAAACCAGATGAAATTCTTTGAAGTACATAAAGTTCACCAGACTTTTCTGAGTTATTTAATGAATATTCACCAGGCTCCAAAGACAAACAATTTGTTGATACGTTGTACAACTGATTTTTCGAAGACACAAAAAGGGTGTTTGTCAAAAAACTCAGGAATAATTAATGAGTTAGACAAATTGTTGAGTATTTAAACCTTATTTTCACCTTTTCCGCACATATTCCAATGTAAAGAACGCATCAATTACATTCCACATCAGTAAATGTCAGAGGAGAGAAGCAATGGCGGGGAAGGGGGAAGAAGGAGAAGAGGGGGATATAATGTGAAGCGCTTAGAGGCCTTGTTGGCATGAGTGCCACAGTATATAAGACCAAAATATTATTATTACCATATTATTATCTCGTGGTCGAGGATATACCACCAGGTGACGGACACGTTGAAGTGAAATTGAAAGATACTGTGCTAAAAAAAACCAACTTCCTAGGTAACTGTTTAATTACGATCTCAACATGACAGCTTTTGACAATAAACAGAGATTTAATGAGTAGGCAAGTTAACTGTTGTTTTACTATTATAGATTTTCCTCAATCAAACAACAACCATGCTCCATATGTTATATTCACCTTTTTGATGATGGGAGGAGAGGAGGAAGAGGGAAAAGGAGAAGGAAGAGTGAAGAAAGCAGGAAGAGGGGAGGGAGCAGGAAGAGGGAAGGGGAAGAGGGAGAAGAGGAAGAGCAGGGAGGGAAGAGGAGAGAGGGAAGGGAAGAGGAAGGGGAGAGGAAGGGAGGGAGAAGAATGACTAATCCAGGTTAAAGCTATACACCTATAATTTAAAAAAAAAATACCAATATTACAACAAATAATGCTATTCCATTTTCAATGAAGCTATTGAACCAATTAGAACATAGTCTAACACTCAAGCTCAAGAAATTTGATTTTACCGATTTTTCCTTTATAAAAGAAATTTTTGAATTTTGTATTGCACTAATCAAAATATTAATTCTGTGTCTTAAAAACAATGATCTGCCAGAGTGACCTGTTGACCATTTTTCTCACAACAAATATCTAACGCAACATACAAGATTGCCAGTAAGAACAAGCCCCTCCCACTTTCCGTACATTATTAATCACTGATGTATCATATCCACAGATGACATTATATCATATAACATTTACAGGCTTAGATCTCTTTTCAAGAAACTCGTTTGTGAAGCATACTAGATATCAACAAGTAGTTTTATTTAAGTTGCTTCTTTTTATGTTTATCTGTGAGAGGACCTTCTGGAATTTTCAAAATAATGGAACAGTCCATAATTTACCTGAAATCTTTAAAAGAATTCAAACACCCTTAATGCCTATTAAATTTTTATTATAATACCCCAACAAATATATTTAATAAAAATAATTGATTGTTATTGAAATTGAAAAGAAAAGCGAATTGTTTTAGTATTAAGGATTTAGATAAAATTTCTATGAATCACTACAACTCGATCATTTTGCTAATGTCAGAATGCTTTAGCAGCCTATTTCACCTTTGTCAGTGATGTATTAGCACCTGCTAAAAAAAAACATCAATGAATACGTGCAAAGCCAGCCACCTGCTCAAACGTCTACACTTACGACTTCTCTTCCGCAGAGGAAATTGTCCGCAGGTAGGTACATCCGAAGAAACAAAGGATGCGAGAAAAAAGCATGTGCAGACATCAGTAACCAGGTGTTTAGCCCTGTTTTTGGAGGAAATCGCAAAGAATGTTTCTTGAATAGGATCATAACAGATTTAGAAACTAGCGACGGGGAGATGTTTGCTTGGTAGCGCGAGAGAGCAAGAAAGGTGATTTCTCTTTGTCTGTGAAAGGGGCCTAGATCAATGGATTCGTAAGATGATGAGATGAATTGATGAGATGAACATAGATAACAGTTGTCTTGTATCGTAATGCAGGTTATATATTTTATCATGATTGAAGAGGAGAGATTCGCTTCCATCAAGCATTTTGAGCAGCGATTAAGGCGTTTTACCCTCAAAATACTGTGAATACCACAATATCCCGCACATATTCCAACGTAAAGGATGCATCAATTAAATTCCACATCAGCAAAATGTCAGAGAAGCAATCTAAAAAGACATGGCAGGAGAAAAAAAATCCGATTTAATTACTATTTTCAAATTATGGTCCATCAGAACAGATTTTGAAAAAAGCCTTCGATATATAATAAATTGTCTGAAACTCAAACCCCTGTCATGTGTAGACCAACTTTATAGAGTGCTTCATATTTAGATTGCAGACTACAAAATTTATTTTACATTCAGGACAAAATTAAATTTTAAGATAAATCTGATACAAGGCAAGACTTTTTATACCTTGTTTAGCGAATCCGTCGCCAAAAAAAAAAGTGGAAATTTCAGGAAAAAAAGTTTTTCTTTATTTTATTACGCCCTCCACTGCCTTGAAATCTCCGAAGATAAGATATGTATATTTCTTCGTAACTATATAAATTTTAAGCATTCAACCATCCTATTTTACATTCACCAATATAATTTTTATTTTTATTTTCTCCTCCATCTGGATGATTTTGGCAAAACTACTTGCTAAATAAGAAAACAAAATTTTATTTTCATTCTGCCCTCCTCCGGTAATCTTTAAAAAAATAAGTACACGAAAAAAAGGAATAAAAAAAGTCTCACCTAAAAAATTGGCTAACAATCGCTTCAATAGAAGACGCATTAAGTGTGCTATGTCGCAATTATGATGGTGATGATTTGATTTCAAACTGAAAATTAGAAAGAGAATTTAGATGATTCATAAAAGATATATAAGAGCACTGTCTATGTTTTAATTAGCCTTACGTATATAGTGCCAACAATTTTTAACAATCTTTCTAATGCATGCGTAAACTGTTCGCATCAAGGTGGATACCTCCTGCGACTGTATTCGCTAAAATTTAACATGTTTTATGAATTGTAGTAGTATTGTCTTTTTTAAAGAACAAGTTAATAGTTACACACAAGAACAAGGAGCAATCATAAATAATGATCCTAATAACGCATAATGGCAGAGACTTTGCAGTATATCATGATAACGATTTTCATTAGACTTTATCAATATAGTAACATTTTGTACTTATTCTCAATTTGCTGTTCAACTAACTGGACTGCCTAGAAATTGTTATGTAATTTCACATCGTACGGTACCTATCAAACTACATCCGTATGTATTGACAAACTGTCTATAACCTAAGCACGCAATAAGCATTTAAATATTCCGACTTTAATCCTTTAACCCTATGTATGTTTTCACCAAATGTTTTCATGTAAAGTTCATTACAAGCCTGCATTTTCCAATGAATGTTTATGGAACAAATAACATTGGGCAATATGCACTTTTAATACTTTATTTTGGATTTTTCAAAATGTGCTATAAATAGAGTGCTAAAATTATTACGTGGATGTGGCGATTTTCCTGTTTTCAAGGTTACCGATAATGATCTAACGCTATCAATAAGCCTTTGTCCTAGTGCGAAGCACTTTTTATTGAAGTTCATCATTATATAACAAGGAGTCTGGTTTGGTGCCGACTAGGATGTTACCACATGGAATGCAGACCTATTGGTATGGAATGATGGCCTATTGGTATGGAATGATGGCCTATTGGTATGGAATGATGGCCTATTGGTATGGAATGCCAGCCTATTGGTCTTGAGTGCTGGCCTATTTGTCTGTACACTTCAGAACCACTGCAATATTCCCAAGTGAAATAGATTGCATATTGTGTAAGGGTGCCAATCTGGGTACAATGATTGGATTGGATTTATTCGGTGTAAAAATCAAGGACAGACCGTGAAAGTCTAGAAGAAGACTTAATTCCAGTGGGGTCCTTCTGGTGGTGATTGGGCAGTACACCGGGAGACAATCCCCTACTCTTTTCCGAAGAGTGTACTGCATTCTTTAACGTGCGCATGGGCCATCAATGCACACAGGAACAACGGCTTAAACGTCTCATCCGAAAGACGGTGCGGTACTTGTATTTCGGCCCTCTAGCTGAAATACAAGGAGAGGCAGTGATGGGAATTATGCAACCTTCTAATACAGTATGGTAATATACTCCTGTAAATTAACAATTTTCCCCGTGTAAAGTGTGTAAAACTAAGAACACAATAATGTTTTCAGCCTGAAATCGTCAAAAAAAATAAGAACACTGAGTCTGGGAAAAATTTTACTGCTTCTTATTAAAAAAAAAAAGTATATCAGAATTTTGTATAGGATACTGTACCACCATGTAAAATACCTGAAGCTCTATCCAAACTGACATGTCTGTAAATTTCCCATATATGGGCATGAATTAAACACATCCATATATGAGCAAGATGATGTCAATGGATTTATCCCCCACATCATCCAACAAAAATGAGACCTATGAGCCTTTTCTCAAGTGGGAAGGAGACAAAATAATTTTTCTACTTGGCCTTAAAAGCTATTACTTTTTAAAATTAAATATGAATTGAATTTTGTTACACAACTATAGGTTTAAATGCACCTGCCAATAAGTCCACCCACACATATCTACACAACACATTATTACTACTAGCCAATCAAAACGAACAGCAATAATTCATTAGCTAATTAAAGATCAACTTAGAAATATTGATTGATAGATTTTTGCAAAGCCTATAAAAGTCTGAACCAGCTGTTTAGCTACATTACAATCTGTTTTTTGAGTCGTAAAAATTAAAGATTTATTACAACATAAATTTTCGGAATATTTAAGATTTCAAATCCTAATCACTAATCCTACATTCAATTTTATATTTATAGTTACCGGTATGACTTTTCAACAATTTTGCTCTATGTGTTGAGTAATTAAAAATTCCAATTTTATATTTGCATTTTAGTATTTGCATCCTTAATAAAAGACTTACGGCCAACTCAGATAGCATTGTAAGGGAGTACGTCCCCCTATTTTTTGAAAAAAAAAAAAAAAAATTGTTTTGTAAAGCTTATCAGAAAATTACCATGATAAATAGTGAAAGTCAAGCAAAATACCAACTCAAATTTAATAATGAAGATGCTAGATTTTTATGGGGAATTCTACCCTTGCACCCCTACCAGGGGCACTTTCTTGAGATTCTCACTCAATTTGCACATTCACACCCCCATCTTTCTTACTGGGCTGGTCCCTCCCCTGCATCGGGTCTATGTGAGTGAAACGCAGATGCTTCCTCATATCACTAAGGTAAGCAGACACAATGGTTTGCATCGGGGAGGGGGGGGCAGTTGCGTCGTAGAATATTAAACATGTTTAATATTTCTCACGAGGACTTAAGACTGTCCTCTACGATAAATCACGTCGGAAAGCGTTGCATTACGCTGTCTTAGTTGGCCTTTAGGCCCATTAAAGACTACAAATTCGTAACACCAATATAACACACGAAAAACATATTCACCTATACGCAGAAAAATTTATTTTAAAAATATGTAATTGTATTTCAATTACTTTTTATTTTGCTAATTGCCCAAGAGAACCCCTAAATTAACCCATTGGATATTACATAGATATTTAATTAATCAATGAACTATAGTTATTATACAATTTCCCATAAACCTCAATACTCTAATTAATGCCACATCCTTTTTGCATATTGCTAAGGTATCGCAGTGCACTTGCCATTACCACCCCAGTCATATGGAAAAAAAAATTCCCACGAGAATAAATTTAAGTACTGAGTCAGTACCCATAAATACTACTAATTCAACCTACCTACATGTACTAGCCTAAGTCAATACTCTAGAAGTGGAATATATAATAATAGCCCCTACCATACTGTCTTGGGGAAAAAAAGACCAATTAAATTTAAATAAAACATGGAACAACTAAATAAAAAACATAGCCATAATTATAAAATATGCAGAAACATGTAAAAAAATTAATTAAAACATTTCTTTATAAGATAAAATTTAACTTTCAATGATACAAAAGTTCTCACTGATTTGACTACATAATCAACTACTAGCTTATCAATGCGTATATGCAATAAATACAGAAAATATTTTTCCAAGGTCTATGTTGAATTAAGTCTGTTAATTATGGAGTAAGAACGTATCTCAAGTTGTTTTTACACTGAATTTAGTTTGGTTAAACTTCACAACATTCTGGTATGTTGGTTTCAAAATGATTCTTGTTTTCAATGTTCATTTTTTTTGGATAAAAAATATACCAAATTACCACATTTTTAACACAACTTCTTTTAATATTCATCTGTTTTATGGAGTATGAACGGTATCTCAGGTTGTTTTTACACTGAATTTAGTTTGGTTAAACTTCGCAACATTCTGGTATGTTGGCTTCAAATTTTTTTTTTTTTTAAATATACCAAATTACCACATTCTTAACACAACTGCTTTTAATATTGTCATTTTAATAATTTATATAATTGTTAATAAACAATAGACCTTCTGAGATTTGCCAAATCAATTACATATGGGTTTTATTTCCTCCCATTCCAGACGAATAATTTATATTTACGATTCTATACTTTTACATAGGCTACATACTACGACAGACATTCACCTCCAACTCACTGCAAATATACAAAATCTTTGATAATCATTGGCCTGAAGTAGTAAAGTACATTTCAATGGAATTATGATTTAATGTTGAGAACATTAGGGTCGCCTCCTTGGATCATGTGACATGGTTATGATAGGTGAGGGATGGTCGTTCACCTTACTCAGTGAAAATATAGCTCACACCCTCTCTATACCCTTTCCTACCCTGATGATTTTACCATCGTTCTCTTTAGAGTTCAACCTCCGCTGCTTGAGATCCTAGCCAAGATATGGAGTTTCCCAGGATCCAACACCCTTCAAACTCCGGTTCAAACTGCCCTCTAAAGTAATCGAAAGGATCAGTCCGGCAGTGAAACAGACATGTGATGCAAGAATTAAGCTATACAGGTAATCTATTATAGAAGGTGTTGTACAACTGCTGGTATAAAAATTACTTGATCATTCATTGGTGAACATATGTATAAGTGATCTCCTGTATCAAGGCTACCAGCTTGTTTCATATTTAAAGTTTACTGAACTTATCAGTAAATCAAGGAAGTTGTACCTACAGTGCCACTTTCATTTATAGAAGGTATATACTGATTATACTAGTCATCAATGATATAACAATAATAATTAACTAAAATGATAAATATAAGAATAACAAAAAAAATAAATAAATAAATATCATTATTATTATGTAATACTGTAATACTATTTTACAATGCCAAGAATACTTTATACCATCTGACATTCTCTATCTCTCCAAAGTCACTCGATCAGTTATGAACTCGTGTGCTTTCATGTCATTTGGAATTCTTTACAAGGATCAGCCTCAAGGCCTTTGGATTCTCTGCAGCAATGTCTTTATGGAGCTGCCCTCGGCCTTCTTTTCCTGATATTGCTATCTTTCAGTTAATCCGAAGACAAAATTACAATGTACAACTTGATTCTTCGTTATCCAATCTCCTCAACTCTGTGTTCAGATTCTAACGGCGAGTAAAGTGGCTTTTCACTTGGTTTCGTTAGCTCATGCTGTCACGAAGACACTACTAATTCTATAAACAGCAAAAACAAAAACTAACACTCATGATTACAATAAAAAATCCTCTATTTTAGTTGCTCGGTTGGCTGATTGGTGGCAACCACTTTGTGCGAGTTTAACCACAAAGATCCTTCTAGATCCTCTGGTTCCTGTTTGAATCTCATTGCTACTCTTTTTGTAGAG